ATATATATATATAAAGGCATTTTAAACCCTTCCCACACTCTTGCAATCTTCTAAACAATGTTTCTAAACTCTAAATGCTCTAAAAGAGCACAGAATATCATGATGTCAGCTCCCTGCCTCCTCTGCTCTTTGCCACCTGCAAGCGCTATTGGCCACGCCCACATCTCCGCTCTGCACGGTGAACAGCTGATCAGCTGCAGCAGGAAGTTTATCCTGCAGTGTGGGCTGCACAAAGGAGGAAGCTTTTTCTGCAGCTCTGTGCAGCAGGTGCTAAATAATTTAAAATAATTCATTTTAAATAAAAACTTCATGCCGATCGTGCGGCTCATCCATCAGTCAGCCAATTGTGTGTCATGTCCAATCTTATTTTGAAAAACTGAGATAGAGCGAGTTCACAATAAACAAACCACGAAGTAGCGAGGGACTAATGTAATTTTATTTTCTACATCTAGCCATCATCACGATTTATTACATTTAAAACTATTGGTTTAAGTTTTAGTTTTGCTGCAGTGAAGTTGTGTTTTTATGCTCAAAAAGCCTAGGATGTTTAAAAAACTGTAAAAATTAAAATGTTTCAGCAGAGACAAAACTGCAGCAGATCAGATTACCTTTTTATTTCTCCTCACCAATAAAAAACAAACAGACAGATAATCGACACACCAGAAATCAGTGGAAGTTTCAAGCTTCTTCAAATTTGTGCCAGATTTTGAGGAATTTCCAAATGCTTGTTCTAATCTTGACAATTTTAGAAAAAGTGTAGAAAATTCAAAGTGTTCATTAATCGAGTCGAGCTCAGTGTCAATCTGTCAAGAAAAATTGTTTACAGTTAAGTAAATAAGTGTTTTTATTGGACTGAAACCTGTTGACTCTACTGGCCCAGCCTCTCATTGGGTTTCTGTTTGTCCACAGACCAGGACGAGTGTCTCATCAGGAACATGTGTCTCAACGGTCTGTGCATCAACGAAGACGGCAGCTTTAAGTGCATCTGTAAATCGGGATTCCTGCTGGACACAAGTGGACGCATGTGTGTCGGTGAGACGCTTGAAGTAATCTGGATGCATTGTGCTTTCATGGAGCTAGTGAAGGGCGGAAAAATTCCCCTAAAACCCCCTCAGCCAGCTGGACATGTTGATGTTTGGGGCCCGCCTGTCCAGAGGTACAGAGTTACAGACCGGCTGCTCTAAACCCGTCTGATAGAAGCAGAGAAGACTTTTGGACTCGTCCTGGGACAGAAACATGTAAAACATCTACAATCAACTTATGGCTTTGTTGGGTTTGATTGTGTAACAGACATTTTACCACCCAGCTCGTCCCTCCAGGAGTCCCAGACGTTTGATCTCAGGGACACTGACCCAGTTCACTCAGATCAGAATAAATAAAAAGAGGAGCAGGGTGTGGGTGAAGTGTGTTAATTTATGCAGTCCTTAATGAAACGTGTAGTCAGAAGGGGCCCCGAGGCCTCGTGGTCTGTCTACAGTCTGTCTGTCCCCCTGAACACCCAAACAGACCCGAACACTGAGCCGTGCACGCATCTCACATCATGTAGACCTGAACCGTGAGCTGTGGGGGTGCTGCAGGAGTATGGGGTGCAGGTTGGACTCCTCCAGGATTGTCCCTCGACTCTGGGCCTGTTTGTGGTCTTCATGAACAGGATCTTAAGGTGCAGTCGTGGAGAGGAGGGGGTCTGGTTTGGGAACCTTGGGGTCTTGGCTCTGCTTTATGTGGATGATGTGGTTCTGTTGACGTGTTTAATGTGCACCGGTTCACAGCCGAGTGAGATGAGAGTCAGCTCTTCTAAACCCGAGGCCTTGGAACGCCTTAGAGACAGGGTGAGGAGTTCCGTCATCAAGTGGGAACTCAGAGTAGAGCTGTTGCTCCTCTGGGTCTAAAGGAGTCAGTTGAGGAGGTTCATCTGATCAGGACGCCTCCCTTTGGAGGTTTTATGGGCACGTCTCACTGGGAAGAGACTCTGGGTCAGACCCAGAACACTCTGGAGAGATTATCGATCCTCTGGTCTGGGAACACCTTAGGGTCCCCCAGGTGGAGCTGGAGTGGGAGGTTTGGGTTTGTTTCCTGGACCTGACCGCAGATCACAGGTAGAAGATGGAGATGGAGGTCAGCTCATATGTCAGCCTTTGCTGGGTTTCTGTTTGATCCAGGAGAGCTTCAGTCCATTTCTCGTGTCCTTGCAGTATCTTTGGCTAACGTCCCTCAGACCAGCTGAACGTTTGTAGCTGCTGCTCTGATCCTTGGAGGAAGTAAACCTCTCTGGACCTCGGTGCTCCAAGCTTAGTTCAACAAACTTCACATGTTGGTTTGTGCAATGTTGACGTTCATTTCAGTAAATCAGGTCATAAAGCTGCTCTGCTGCTCTGCTGTCTGTTCAAACGATGCATTAGGTTTTTTATGTACTTTTACTGCATGTCCCCCCCCCATCCCCCCACCCCACTGTGTGTGACTGTAGACATCAATGAATGTGAGACTCCAGGTATGTGCATGAACGGCCACTGCGTGAACACGGAGGGCTCGTTCCGCTGCGAGTGCATGGCTGGGATGGCGGTGGGCCTGGATGGACGGGTCTGTGTCGGTGAGTCTGATGCTTTTTTTGTAAGCAGCTCTTCCATTTTCTGTTGCAGCTCATAGAAACACAGTCATGGTTTCTGTAAAGAGGACCCAAAAGGTACTGCGCTGGTGGAGATTCTCAACCATCCAGAACCTGAGTGGTTCACTAGAAGTCAACTGGACCTCAGTTCTGAAAGATATTTGTCCTCTCCTCTCCTTCTGTTCTGTTCGAGTTCCACACTAAAGTTAAGAGAGATGGAAACCTGAGCACTGAAGTCTACAGGAACCTCCAACACACAGACCAGCGTCTGCTTTGATAGATGATTGTTGAAAATCCAGTAAATATGTCAGAAAGCTTCAGTGCAGCAGGACTCCAGACCTAAACTGAGTCAAAACTATTAATCTCTAACCATCCAGAACCATTTCTGATGTTTTTGGGATGAACTATTTAAACTTGAGTGTGATAAACAGAATAATCTGTGTTGTTAATGATCCGATTCGTGTTTCTGCCTGCAGTCGAGCCTTCATGTCGATGTTTTCAACATTCCAAGTTTTCCCAGAACGACACTTCCTCTCCGTCCGTGTGAGAAGTGTTGAAAATCTGTTTGTTCTCTCAGCAGAATGCCTTCGGTCCCAGAGGAAGAACAAACTCATTTGTTTCTGTTTTCCTCGTCTTTGTTCTCACACTGACGTGTTTTCTGACAGATACACACATGCGCAGCTCGTGTTACGGCAGCTACAAGCGAGGGCAGTGCATCCAGCCGTTGTTTGGAGCCGTCACCAAGTCGGAGTGTTGCTGCGCGAGCACCCAGTACGCTTACGGAGAGCCCTGCCAGCCCTGCCCATCTCAAAGCTCTGGTACTGATCTAGATCCAACCAGTCCTTTGACTCCTCCCATGTTTAGACTCACTTCCTGGTTCTGCAATCTCACTCAGATCAGCTAACAACCACAGCTGTAATGCATGTCACCCACCACCTAGCCTGCCACAGATTCAAACCAACATCCCATGCTGTCAGTTAGCACTCAGAGGATGTGTTGGGATGACTCTCAGCTACCACCACACCAAATTTTAACTCAGCATCTGGATCCATCAGAGCTTTAGTCAGCTTCGAGTTGGCGAAGTCGATTATCTGTGGCGACCATCTTGAACTGAGCTGACTCTCAGCTGCAGAAGTGCATCCAGTAATTGGTTTTTGAGAATTTCATTAAAATACATCCAGTGATTGATGAGATATTTTGCCAACAAACACATATGAACACATGACAGTACATGATTTCCCACACTTGGTGGTGGCTGAGTTGATTTCAGCTGCAGGTCGCAGCTCGTGTTCAGCCTCCACACATGTTATTCAGCATCTTCTCATTAGTCCTGAACTCAAAACAGTTTATTTACATCCAGGCTTAATGAGAAGGCGTAGAAACGGATAATGACCTGGTTTTAAATATCCAGCTTTAAGATGAACCGGGGTAATTTTTAGATGCTGCCTGCTCATCTTTTTTCTTTAAATCAAAGTGTTTGTGTGTTTTCCTGCAGCTGAGTTCCTGGCTCTGTGTCCCAGTGGCGTCGGAATCACCGGCGATGGACGAGGTAACCTCCACTAGGATTTGATCCTCCTGACCGGGCAGCGACTGTTGGACACCTGGTCTTATACAGTTGCCCCTGAGGTTTTTCAGAATGTGGCCAGGGCTCTCTGTTCCCTTCCACGAGTCTCAGAGTCTCGCTTTGATTTGTAAAAAGTTCAAAGAATTTTCTCTCAAATAGTCTCAAAGTCGTCACAGGAAGCTGTGATGACGTTTTAGTTTCTGCCATTTCTTCTTAACAACTACCTGTTTTATCTGTTGCTTCTGTTCAGAAACATCCATCAATAAACTGTCTGAATTGTCTGAAGAATAAATTGATCATTCGTAGGATTTTACCTCAACTGATTGATCAATAATATATTGCATGAGGAAATCTGGAGTGGCAGAGAAGTACGTTAGACGGGACATGTAAGAGGACAGCAGGACATGTATGAGGACAGCAGGACATGTAAGAGGACAGCAGGACATGTATGAGGACAGCAGGACAGTGATGAGATGTGCTGTAGGAGTGACAGATAGCTTCAAGGTGGAGGTGGGAGTGCATCAAGGATCAGCTCTGAGCCTCTTCTTGTTTGCTCTGGTGATGGACCGACTAACAGATGAGGTCAGGCAGGAATCCCGGTAGACTATGATGTTTGCAGATGACATTGTGATCTGTGGTGAGAACAGGGAACAGGTGGAAGAGAACTTGGAGAGGTGGAGGTATGTACTTGAAAGAAGAGGAATGAAAGTCAGCCGTAGTAAGACAGAGTACATGTGTGTGATTGAGAGGGAGGCCGGTGGAACAGTGAGGCTACAAGGAGCAGAGGTCACAAAGTGCAGGACTTCAAGTACTTGGGGTCCACTGTCCGAGAAAATGGGGAGTGTGGTAAAGAGGTGAAAAAGAGAGTCCAGACAGGATGGAGTGGATGGAGAAAAGTTTCAGGGGTGATTTGTGACAAAATAGTGGCAACAAAGGTCAAAGAAAAAGTTGACAAGACAGCGGTGAGACCAGCTATGTTGTAAGGTCTGGAGACAGAAACATTGACAAAAAGACAGATAAACATCTGGAAATGGCAGAAATGAAGGTGTTGAGGTTCTCCTCAGGAGTGACAAGAATGGATAAGATTAGGAATGAGATCATCAGAGGTACAGCACAGGTTGAACAACTGGGAGATCAAGTTAGAGAGACCAGACTGAGATGGTTTGGACATGTCCGGAGGAGGGACAGTGAGTATATTGGTGGAAGGATGTTAGAAATGCAGCTGCCAGGAAAAAGACAAAGAAGAAGGCCAAAGAGAAGATATATGGATGCAGTTAGAGAGGACATGGAGGTAGTTGGAGTGAGGACAGAGGATGCAGAGGACAGAGTGG